TTTTTTTTTTTTTTTTTTGAGACAAGGTCTTTCTCTCTCTAGTTCCCAGCCTGGAGTACACTGGCTTGATCATGGCTCACTACAGACTTGGGCTCAAGCAGTCTTGCCACCTCAGCCACCTGAGTAGCTGAGTTTGGTTTTCACCAGGGCCATGTGTCAGCCTATTTACCCTCACTTGGCGTCTCCTAAGCCGCCAGCCTCTGCTGTTCATCCAGTATCTGCTGAATGGTGATTACCTACTAAGTGGAAATAATACAAAGGTCTTATCTAGAAGCAGTTTTTGTTGATTATGTCCTTACAGTGGCCCGCTAGAGGGCGTCGTCGTTTAGTGTAATTCTGGTAGGTTTTTGTTTTGTTTTGTTTTTTTAAATGGAATAAACTGAAATCTTTACATGGGTATTGAATCCCTTTAGCAACTTGGTGGGTTGCTTTAACTGAATCACTCTTAATAGAAACATGAACTTGAATGGATTTATTCAATATTTGACAATATTAATTATTTTTCTTTTTTGAGACAGAGTCTTTCTCTGTCCCCCAGGCTGGAATGCAGTGACACGATGTCAGCTCACTGCAACCTCTGCCTCCCGCGTTCAAGCGATTTTCCTGCCTCAGCCTCCTGAGTAGCTGGGATTACAGGCGCACACCACCATGCCACCTGGATAATGTATATTTTCAGTAGACTTGGGGTTTCGCCATGTTGGCCAGGCTGGTCTCAAACTCCTGACCTCAGGTGATCTGTCTGCCTCAGCCTCCCAAAGTGCTGGGATTACAGGCGTGAGCCACCTCGCCCAGCCAAACAATATTTATTTTGCCAGGATTTGGATTCTAGTTTTTAAGTCTTTAAGTATCATTCAGAGCCGTATGTACTGAGAAACTCTTGAAACTGAGCCTTTGTTTCTTTAAAAAGTATCATTCTACAGTATCCTACAGGGATTTAAAAAGTACAGTGCATCAGGAGGCACGGTGGCTCACGCCTGTAATCCCAACGCTTGGGCCAAGGCAGGCGGATCACCTGAGGTTGGGAGATTAGCCTGGCTAACATGGTGAAACCCTGTCTCTACGATATATACAAAATTAGCTGGTTGTGGTGGCATGCGCCTGTAATCCTAGCTACTAGGGAGGCTGAGGTAGGAGAATCGATTGAACTCCGGAGGTGGAGGTTGCAGTGAGCCGGGATTGCACCACTGCACTCCAGCCTGGGCAACAGAGTGAGACTCTGTCTCCAAAAAAAAAAAAAGTACATTGTGTCTCTAGAAAAAAAAAATATTGCCAGGCGCGGTGGCTCACGCCTGTAATCCCAGCACTTTGGGAGGCCGAGGCGGGTGGATCACGAGGTCAAGAGATCGAGACCATCCTGGTCAACATGGTGAAACCCCGTCTCTACTAAAAATACAAAAAATTAGCTGGGCATGGTGGCACGTGCCTGTAATCCCAGCTACTGAGGAGGCTGAGGCAGGAGAATTGCCTGAGCCCAGGAGGCGGAGGTTGCGGTGAGCCGAGATCGCGCCATTGCACTCCAGCCTGGGTAACAAGAGCGAAACTCCGACTCAAAAAAAAAAAAAAAAATATTAGAGTCTGGGCTTGGGGCTCACCTAAAACAAGAAAATGGCAAAGTGGAAAACTAGGGATAGGCCTTCAGATCAAGTGCAGTTGACCTCTGCTATGACTCCCGGAAAGCATAGTATCAATCCTTGTGGAAAACCAAACAAGATTTAGTTTGATCCTCATAAACTCTGTCTCTTCAGAAAAAAAAAAAAAAATGGTGTGGTGGCATACCCCTGTAGTCTCAGCTACTTGGGAGGCTGGGGGCAGAGGATCACCAGAGCCCAGAAAGTTGGGGCCACAGTGAACTGAGATTACGCCACTGCACTCCAGCCTGGCTGACAGAGTAAGGCCGTGTCTTAAAAAACAAACAAGGCCAGCTGGGCGCAGTGGCTCAAGCCTGTAATCCTAGCACTTTGGGAGGCCGAGGCGGGTGAATCACCTGAGGTCAGGAGTTCAAGACGAGCCTGGCCATCATGGTGAAACCCCATCTTGAAAAAAACAAACAAGGCCAAGGGCAGTGGCTCATGCCTGTAATCCCAGCACTTTGGGAGGTCGAGGTGAGCGGATCACCTGAGGTCAGGAGTTCGAGACCAGCCTGGCAAAGATGGTGAAACCCCATCTCTACTAAAAATACACAAATTAGTCGGGCATGGTAGTGGGTGCTTATAATCCCTGCTACTCAGGAGGCTGAGGCATGAGGATTGCTTGAACCCGGGAGGCAGAGGTTGCAGTGAGCCGAGATCACGCCACTGCCCTCCAGCCTGGGTGTCAGAGTGAGGCTGTGTCTCAAAAAA